GAATTTTCACTAGTTTTCCCACGGATAGTTTCGGGCGGTTAAATGTAATTTCATCCAACGAATATGAAAAAGGCGCAATATATCATGCTCTGGAAACAAAAAACACATTGGATCTCGAGTCCAGACTCTTAAAAACATCGACAAGAAAAAAGACTCTTGATTCAATTGGATTTTTGCTTAAATCAAGAACCAAGCCTCTTAATTTGAGCGGATTTCCTTTTGATTTAAGCAAAAATCTTAATGAATCAAGAGTCCTTTCTCTTATCAATGTTTTCAAGAGTCTGGACTCTAGATCCAATGTATTCTTTTTCCAGTGTGGAGTCGATAAGCGTGGTCGGAAGAGAACGAATAATTTGTACTCCCGATTTTCCCGGCTTAGGATCTGGCGCTCGGAATTTCCAGTAGTTTTTCTTTACTGTCACCCTTGATTACACTCGTGTTCCTCATAATTTAGAGACTGGGATTTTCCTTCCATATTGCGTGATACCACACCACATACCTACTGGAAAATCCGCATAATTGCACGCTTGATTTCCGCTTTAGTCACGATGCAAGCATAATGCCTGCATTCATATAGTCACTAATTTGAGACAGGCCAAACGCTAAGATTTTCCTTCGTTTGAGCGAGATACCACATCATTTACCTGATCCGAAGTTCGCACAGTTGCACGCTTTATACCCGCGTATATCACGATGCGAACGTAATGCCTTCATTCAAAGACGCCACTAATTTCAGAAGGGTAGAATGTCAAGATTTTCCTTCATTTTAGCGTGATACCACATCATATACCTATTCCTGAGTCTGCAACTTGTAAAAACAAAATGGCGTAACGCTCTCTTCGATCTCCCCCCCCCCTTTAACTTCTAGGTGGATAACGAGCTTCGGGTGATGTCATGAGCCAAACAGGTTTCCCAAACTTTGGTTTGTTTGCAAAAAGAAATCCTCAAAACGTTGTTGGCCATCCATCTACTTCGTAGGTCAACAGTTGCATGTTTAAATCCCGAAAGTAAAAGCTTCCATCATTGCCAAGATACCAATGCCTTGTCTCTGATTGTGAGTGTACACCAAGCTTGGAGGTTCACACCGTCCAGTGGCCTGCACTGGGAAAAAAAAAAAACACATTGGATCTAGAGTCCTGACTCTTAAAAACATCGTCATGCAAGAAAAAGTATACTCTTGATTCAATCAGAATCTAGCTTAAATCAAGAACCAAGCCTCTTAATATAAGCGGATTCCGTTTTGATTCAAGCAAAAATCTGATTGAATCAAAAGTATTTTTTCTTGTCAATGTTTTCAAGAGTCTGGACTCTAGATCAAGTGTTTTTTTTTTTTTTCCAGTGTGGCGTGCTTTGCATTATACCGATGAATCTACTATTTGAACCTATGGAAAAGGGTCAACAATCAGGGTGCTCGCATCGAACACCTTAACAATCGATTCTTTACCATAACTTCAAAGGGCGACATATCAATAATCGATCGTTCAGGCCTCGCCACTGACACCGTCTGGTTTCCACCCGCGATCCACGGATCGGGAGATCAAGCAAATTCTGTACGCCTGCACTGTCGCACTAAGGAAAAACGTCGTATGAACATTCGAATGTTGCCAAATTTCCGTTCGGGAAATATTTATTGTAAAAGGAAGTTACGAATGTGTTTCCTTGAAATTTTCAGACTATTTAAATCCAATTACGAGGAAAATTCTCTGGAAAATCAGAAGAAAAATATGAATCAGGGTGTCTAGTATTTTTTTAATTTTGAAAAATCCTGATATTTTCCTAATTTCTCCTGATATTGTGTAAAAAATTCCTGAAATTTTCATTTTAAAAATTCCTGATATTTTCCTGATTTTTCTCGACTCCTGGCACGGTAGGCAAAAGGCGGTAAGACTTTCTCCGCTCAGGAGATTCGCGTAAGAAAAATTCCTGATAAAACGTCCGATTTTTCCGATTTGCCTGATATTTTCCTGATCGGTCAAAAATTCCTGATATTTTCCGATTTTTCCTGCAGCTAGACGCCCTGTTTATGAATTTGCCCGAAAATTTCTGATTCATCGAAGGGAATTTGGCAACGGCTGAAGGTTCATACGACGTTTATCCTTGGCATGACAGTGCATGGGCTCAATGGATGAAATTTAAACACAATAATGAAAAAAAATGTGAGATACGCACCAGGTAAGAGTTATCCAATTGCCCGACGCCAAGCTGAAAGCACTCACAACGCCATCACTGAAAACGCACCGCGCACTAAAAGATTAGCCACGAAAAGGTTACACTAGAACAGAGACTACTTTTTTAAAATACATTATTGGATCCGCCACGAAAGGAATCATATAAAAAACAAACGTTCTTAGCTTACTTAAATTCTGCCCAAATGAGGTGTGTACATGTTACAACGTAATTTGTAAAGATAAAATACAAATAAAATCAAAGATGATAATGATAATGGTGAGGGAGTACCTTGAAATAAAAAATAAAATCAAAAGCTATTTTTCCTGTGGATATTCAAGAAACAAAAAAAGACAACAAAAGACAAAAAAAATTAATCATAATGGCGTGTCTCCTTCCATTGTAGTAAGTCCAGTTTTGTAGAAGATGCAATATTTTTCAAAAATTATTTTTGTTCCAATTGATTTGGTTGCTTGAAGGCCTTAAAAAAGTAATATTCGCATTGTTTTCATGCACATGATGACACAACATCATTAATGAACGTGGAACTACAATTGGACCACATTTTGAAATTTAGAACTATAAATTCTAGCCCTGTTTAAAAACAACGTATGTGCCATTAGTTTCCTTATGTACATAAATGTTTTTTCCAGAAGAGCCAGAATTTATAGTTCCAAATTGCAAAATGCAGTCCAAATATGGTTGGAATTGCATCAATACGAATTCATCGTTTGGCTTGAGAATAGTCTGTAAGGTGTGGTGTTTTCCTTCAATGACAAACTCGAGTTCGTCATACTTGGGTCAAAAGCTTTTTAAAGTTTTTGAATATGAAAATCCCTGACTTTTCAATACCTTTTCGGTGAGGTTTTGACTCAATTTCTCATAAAATCGCTTTATACAAAAAAAAAAAAAAAAAAAAAAAAAAAAAAAAAAAAAAAAAAAAAAAATACTGGCGCGAGTTGTCGAAAGAATAAAACGAAAATTCGATGACTTCAGGGCAGAAGTTTTGGCTCTTGTCCACGGAATATGTGAATGCGGAAGAAAATAATGACAGAAAATAATTTTCGACTGGAAGATGAATTCCAAGGTTCCGCAACAAAAATTCCTGACGTTACAAGGTTGGGCACACTCTCCCGACTTCGTTCATCATAATCAGGGCTGCCAACACCTTTAATCACCTTTTGCAAATTTATTTCATTTACCCGCTACTCACAGTTCTCAATTTTTCTCGCTTGTTACTCACTATTCTCAATTTTTCTCGCTTGTTACTCACTATTCTCAATTTTTCTCGCTTGTTACTCACTTTTCTCAATTTTTCTCGCTTGTTACTCGACACTATTCTCAATTTTTTTTGCTTACTCACTGTTCTCGATTTACTCTTTCCTCGTCGTTTCTCGATTTAAATCACTAGTTTTCTCGCTTGTTACTCACTTTTCTCAATTTTTCTCGCTTGTTACTCACAATTCTCAATTTTTCTCGCTTGTTACTCACTATTCTCAATTTTTCTCGCTTGCTACTCTTTATTCTCAATTTTTCTCGCTTGTTACTCGACACTATTCTCAATTTTTTTTGCTTACTCACTGTTCTCGATTTACTCTTTCCTCGTCGTTTCTCGATTTAAATCACTAGTATCTCACCGTCCTTGATTTTACTGACTCTTTGCTGATCATTTCTCGATTTAACTTACTGGTTACTCACAGTTTCTTGATTTTACTCACTCTTGACTCGCCGTTCATGATTTTACTCAAAAATTACTCCTAAAAATCTCGCAAGACTGTTTTCGATTTTCCTCATATTTACGTACTGTTCTCGGCTTACTCTTTACTCACAGTTCCTTCATTTCACTAACGCTTTATTCATCATTTCTCCATTTTACGCACTAGGTCCTCACCGTTTTTTGATTTTACTCACTCTTGCCGCATCTATCTCAATTTTACTCACTCTTGACTCATCGTCCTCAATTTTACTCACTCTGGACTCATCGTCCTCAATTTTACTCACTCTTGACTCATCGTCCTCAATTTTACTCACTCTTGACTCATCGTTCTCAATTTTACTCACTCTTGACTCATCGTTCTCAATTTTACTCACTCTTGACTCATCGTTCTCAATTTTACTCACCGTTCATGATTTTACTCACTTATTACTCATAAAAATCTCGCTAAACATGAACTAATTGGGGATCATTTATCCCATTTCATTGATCGCTTCAATTATTTTCGAGACACTACAAGAAATTCACTCACGGACAGTCAGATTACCCGCGAATTACTCATTCTACTCACGTTTTACTCACTGATGCTCAAAAATAACTCACAGTGAGAGTTACTCAAGAATCGGCAGCCCTGATGATCTTTAAAAAAACGACGTATTCTAAAACTTTAAAAGAAAGAGGGGTGAAAAGGAGCGAATGATTTAATTGTTGCAATAGCAGCTTCATCTATGTTTTAACCGAGTTGGATGGCGAAGAGTTGCTCCAACCTAACTAACATTTATCAGTGGCGCGGCGTGAATTGCGATATAGGGTGTACGCAGCGACCACCTTAATAATCGATTCTTTACCATAGGGTTTAAATGGTAGAACAATCGAGACATCGCAATTCACGCCACGCCTCTGGAGAAAACAAGAGCAATATTGATTGCGGGCCTAGTTTCAATCCCTACTTTCACGAGTCGTCTCTGATTGGCTGATTTGCCTGGTGCCTACTTTCTGTCGGGACCCTCGTGGAAAATAACACGGGGTTCATTTTCCATCGAAAATATCTCGAAAACCAGGAGAATTTAAACGTCGGAGATTTCGGAGATCAATTCTTCAGATTTTTCTGAGGAGATTGATGGGTAATACAAAATACACGTCACTTCTTTCTGAAAAACACCAAACAATTCGAGCTGGAATTTATTTTTCAACTTAATATATAATAACTTGAAAAACTTAAAAATTAAAGAAAAAATGAGATACGTACATGATGAATAAGATCATGAGTGGGTGAAGACGAGGGATAAACCTCTCATGCCCTGACAGACCACTAAGCTGGAGGTTGGGAGGTTGGGTATAATTTATGCTATGATAACTATCGGTATCTTAGGTTTTATCGCTTGAGATCGTCATATAATTACCGATGGAATAGATGTCGATACTCGGGCTTATTTTACTATCGCTGTTCCTACGGGAATCAAAATTTTTAGTTGGCTTGCCACTTTAGGTGGGATGGAGTCCAATAAGTTCAGCCCCCTTGTACTAACCTTGATCTAATGCATTCCACCTAACCATATCAGTAAATCAGTCACTCAATCAATCAGTCATTCAGTCACTCAGTCGCTCGGTCAATCAGTCGCTCAGTCAATCAGTCGCTCAGTCACTCAGTCGCTCAGTCACTCAGTCGCTCAGTCACTCAGTCGATCAGTCGCTCAGTCAATCAGTCGCTCAGTCAATCAGTTGCTCAGTCACTCAGTCGCTCAGTCAATCAGTCGCTCAGTCAATCAGTCGCTCAGTCAATCAATCGCTCAGTCAATCAATCGCTCAGTCAATCAGTCGCTCAGTCAATCAGTCAATCAGTCGCTCAGTCAATCAGTTGCTCAGTCACTCAGTCGCTCAGTCAATCAGTCGCTCAGTCAATCAGTCGCTCAGTCAATCAATCGCTCAGTCAATCAATCGCTCAGTCAATCAATCGCTCAGTCAATCAGTCGCTCAGTCAATCAGTCACTCAGTCGCTCAGTCGCTCAGTCGCTCAGTCCATCAGTCGCTCAGTCTATCAGTCACTCAGTCAAGCAGTCAATCAGTCACTCAGTCAGCCACAGGAAGAGAGAAAGAAGAAGCTGGTAACCATGCCCATTGGGCATCGGGAGCCAATCCCAAGGTCACCGACCAAGGGTACAAAGGGCACCTCCACGGTGCCCGCAACCATCCACCGGGGCAGACGTGCGGCCGGGGCGGTGTCCGCAGGTCGCTCCTCTAGCGCCTCCAGACGGTAACATCCGCCGACCGGGCGGACGACCGCGCGCCGGGCGCCTCGACGAGTGCTCGGTCGGACGACAGAGCCCCCAACTCAACTTCACTTCCAGACCAAGGCAAAAGACCTCAGCCTGAAAGTGAAGCTGATACGGAGGCCCTGTCGTCACGGTAGAGCAGTCGACGGAGCGTCCAGCGGGTGTCCACCCGATCGTCGGACGTATACCGACATTCGCCGACCGGGCGGACGACCGCGCGCCGGGCGCCCCGACGAGTGCTCGGTCGGAAGACAGAGCCCCCAACTCAACTTCACTTCCAGACCAAGGCAAAAGACCTCAGCCTGAAAGTGAAGCTGAAACGGAGGCACTGTCATCACGGTAGAGCAGTCGACGGAGCGTCCAGCGGGTGTCCACCCGATCGTCGGACGTCGGACCGTGGGAGGCACTATGACCGGAACTGACGGCGGTCGTCGTCGTTGGGCGTCACGGCCGTGAGATGCACGTCGCGGCTGATACGGAACTCCCGGGACCTCTTTAAGGTGATTCGTCGAGCTCAAGTGACGTGGTCGAACCGGCATGCGATATATCGCATCTTTTAGGTCAAAAATCTCGGCAGATTTTGAATATTCAGCAAAAAAAGGACGATAGCCCCTGCGCATGAGCCTAGAGAATCATTCTAAACCCAAAAATTGGAAAAATTCAGGGAAATGAAAGCAGAATAGTGTTTGGAAAAAAACCTCACATTCGATACAGCTATCGATTTCTGTATCGAATGCGAGATTTTTCCCAAACACTATTCTGCATTCATTTCTCTTAATTTTTCCAATTTTTGGGTTCAGAATGATTCTTTAGGCTCATGCGCAGGGGCTATCGTCCTTTTTTTGCTGAATATTCAAAATCCGCCGAGATTTTTGACCTAAAAGATGCGATAAATCGTATGCCGGTTCGACCACGTTACTTAAGCTTGACGAATCACCTTGAGTTCGGGTCAAACTCACAGCGTGGAGCCCGGTTTTCACCATCAAATTGAGCCCTTCAAAATGAGTCATCAAAGTGACTGTTGAGTGTTGCCGATCAAAATTAAGAGGCCGCTCTATACTTTATGATCAAGACAAATCGGGAATAGAGTATCCAATAACTGTCTTTGGATACTCAGTTCTCGATTCATGATGATCATGAAGTAGAGGGGCTTCTTAATTTTGATAGGCAACACTCAACAATCACAACGATGACTCATTTTGATGGGCTCGATTTGATCGTGGAAACCGGGCTCCACGCTGTGAGTTTGACCCGAGCACGAAAGCTGATTACACATGTCCCGAATGGGGACCGACACGGCTCCCATCCGGGACGTGTGTAATCAGCCCTCTTAAGGTGATTCGATGGACGCCATATTTTGTGTCAGAACGGCATGTGATACATCGCATCAATTGGTTCCATTTTTTCAGCTATTCGTCCTTTTTCTCCAATTTTGAGATAGCAATTCTGTTGTCAGGAGACTAAAGCACTCACTTACCAATTTTAACAAAGAAATTCAACGTCAGAAAGGCGTGGTTTTTTTAGAGAAAAAACATCCCATTCGGAATGAGATGTTTTATCTCTAAAAAAAACCACGCCTTCATTACATTGAATTGCTTTGTTAAAATTGGTAAGTGAGTGCTTCAGTCTCCTGACAATAGAATTGCGATCTCAATATTCGAGAGAAATGACGAGTAGCTGAAAAAATGAAACCAATTGATGCGATATATTCGCATGCCGTTCTGGCACAAAATATGGCGTCCATCGAATCACCTTAACCTCTGCACCCTCCCTCTAAAAGGCACTTACCCTCGAAATTTTCTTCAAGTTGAATCTCGAGTGCTTTCAACTTTTACTTTTCTTCCAAATTACTTAAAAATTAACTTTTAATTATGCCTTGACTCTTCAGTATTTAAATTACACACATGTGAGTAGATAGGGGTGCTAAGGCACCTTTTTAAAATAAGTAATAAGCTACTACTACTACCACTACTACTACTACTACTACTACTACTACTACTACTATTACTACTAATACTACATAACATGTTTATGGGCGGAGAGATAAAAAGTCAGTAGTGATGTCATACGTCGCAGTGACAAGCATGGAAATTTGCATTAAGTCAGTCAAATGTTTATTTTCCTTCTTCTTATTCTGTTTCTGTACGAAGAGGTGCGCAATTGCGCATGAAAAGTGCACAATTCTTTCAGATGCATTTACTTAAGAAATTACTTAAAATCTGTTGATTAGAAAAAAACAAGGGAGGAAAAAAAAACAGGAAATTTTTAAAATACGATGACTACTTGCAAAAATTAAGTTAGAAATTTAAATAAATGAAAATGCTGATTATCTGAAAACGCTCGCTCAGACAGCTCCAGCAAAAATTTACGTTAATTTTTCATCGGGAGCTTCAATCATCATTGCATCGATTTCACGAATCAATATACTATCATTTCTGAACGATTTATTATCTGGAATTACAGCTCATGAGAGTAGAGGCATAAATACGATTCGCACAGAAAACTATGATAAAAATAAAACCGATATATTCAATAGGAGATCAGCATAATAGCTACTTGAACTTTCGCGACGACATGAGGTATCAATAGTAGCACGGGGGAGGGGAACGATATTATCTGAACAATTGGGAGGAAAATATTCATAAATTAACCAGACAATTTGCGTTTAATGAAAAGAAATTTGGCAACGCCTGATGGTTCATACGGCGTTTTTCCTAAGCACGGCAGTATGCTTGTTTTATTCCCTCCGATAAAATATTAATTTTTGAGAAAAAGGATTAATATAATGCGCCGAGAGTGTTTGGAACCCCCCCCCCCCTCTTTCTATCTCTCTCTTTACATCAGTAAGCTTGAACTATAAACCCCTTCTCATGAAAAATATCTGGCTACTCCACCGGGTATAATAAAAACTACGACACAGAACTCAAGTGGGTTTTTAAAAAAACTCTGCAATGGAGCTACAGAAAAAAGGTAATTTTCTTATTATTTTGGATACTGATCTGCTGCAGAAATGCGAAAAGACATAAGAGGACAAGAAAAAAAGGCAATGTAAGGGCGCGAAAGGTGAAAAATTGCTAACATGACTTCACGCACGACCAAATGACCGAAAAAAAGAAGGAAAAAAAAATTAAAAAACGACACCTCCTGCTCATCAGAAAGCGCAACCACTAGCGATTTTTTTAGGCACCTGAGGCAGCGTCTCCTTTGATAAAGAAAAAATGAACGAATTAAATGTGTAAAAGGGCGCGAAAATACGGTAAAATGTCATGAAATAATGTTGTGTATTTGACAACTGAATGGTTAAGGTCATCCTACACGCTCATGTTTTTGACGAAAAATTCCCTCGGTTCCAAAATCAAATAGCAGCTCTCTTGACAAAAGTACTGATGGATAGGACTTCTCGAGAACTAAAGTGTTTCCTTTTGGACGAGATTCGAAGAAAGGAGGACAAAGACTCGGAAAAAGTACAATAATTGCTTTAACTGGGAGAAAAAGTTGGGTTTTTGCATTTTAAACGAAGCTCAGGGCTCAATGACGTAAAAAAGTTTTGATTTCTGGGTCCTAAGTTGTTAGGGTACATAGAGAGGGATGTTTCGTTGTAAAAATTCACTGGAAAAAAACACATTGGATCTAGAGTCCAGACTCTTGAAAACATCGACAAAAAAAAATACTATTGATTCAATCAGATTTAAGCTTAAATCATAAGGAAATCCGCTCAAATTAAGAGGCTTTGCTCTTGATTTAAGCTTAAATCTGATTGAATCAATAGTATTTTTTCTTGTCGATGTATTCAAGAGTCTGGACTCTAGATCCAATGTGTTTTTTTTCCCAAGTGTACAGCACTCCAATGTCTATCAGGATCCAAACTCAACAAGAGAAGTTATGCATGACGAGCCATAATAAATCCGTGAGCAATCAAAAAATACCGTTTCTAATCGGTGTAGAAGTAAATGACGTAAACAAAAAAGAATCGCGCAGGTTCAATCATTAATCATGGATGTAACCGATAATTTGAAGGCGTTCAATTGAACAGCTCTTGAGAACACTGCTAATTTCATACTTTACAAAAAGCTTTCCGGTTTGTAGGACTCCTTGCAATTTAGCGGTAATCTTTCGGGCATTTTTTATCCCACCATTAAAAGTTCAAGTGCCCTCACCGACTGTTTCGACTCTGCCCGCACGCAGTGCGGCGATTTCGGCCAGGCGATGAGGGCAATAATCGCAATTAAAAGGAAAGTTTTTTTTTTTTTTTTTTTTTTTGGGGGGGGCATGCTTCACAAGATAATGAGAAACAAAAATAAGCAGTTTCCGCAAGAGCCGATTCAATGATTATGCATTAGTCAAAACTACTCAGACTTCCAACACATTTTGTTTCAATTCTTGTATTTGTTAACGCTGACATTGCTAGTTTCGACCGCCTGCGTGTCTCTGACGCCACAATCTTCAGGGAGGGTGTCTCGATGTGCCTCGTATGCGAAATTAATTTAAAAGAAAAGTCCTATCCTGGTCTAATCTATTTGATGGTTTACGCCCTAAATCCTAATGATATTTACTTGCCTAATTACAATATCAAACGCTAAGACAGTGGCCCAAATACTGTAAGTAACAGAATGGTAGAATAGAACTGGGCCACACTATTCTACGGGGATATCAAGGTCAATCAGGTATAAAACCTTAAACACCTGTCAATTTTTTTATCAGGCAGGTACTTAGTTTATTAAAATTCAGAGTTAAAAAAATTCAAAATTGCTTGAATTGGTTGCAAAATTGATTTCAAAATCGCATTTTGATGTTATTATTTTACTACTTTTAATTGGACTAAATTTTACGATTTGGAACTATAAATTCCAGCCCGGTTTAAAAACAACGTATGTGCCATTAGTTTCCCTATGCACATAAGTGTTTTTCCATAAGAGCCAGAATTTATAGTTCCAAATTGTAAAATGCAGTCTAATTGGTTATCAGAAAA